ATAACGTAATGAGAGTAGAGTTACCTGCCTGACAGTGTCCGAGGAAGATAACGTAATGAGAGTAGAGTTATCTGCTTGACAGTGTCCGAGGAAGATAATGTAATGAGAGTAGAATTACCTGCCTGACAGTGTCCGAGGAAGATAATGTAATGAGATTGGAATTCCCTGCCTGACAGTGTCCGAGAAGGATAACGTAATGAGAGTAAAATAACCTGCCTGACAAGTGTCCTATGAAGATAACGTAATGAGAGTAGAATTACCTGCCTGACAGTGTCCGAGGAAGATAACGTATTGAGAGTAGAATAACCTGTCTGACAGTGTCCTAGGAAGATAACGTATTGAGAGTAGAATTACCTGTCTGACAGTGTCCTAGGAAGATAACGTAATGAGAGTAGAATAACCTGTCTGACAGTGTCCTAGGAAGATAACGTAATGAAAGTAGAATTACCTGCCTGACAGTGTCCGAGGAAGATAACGTATTGAGAGTAGAATTACCTGCCTGACAGTGTCCGAGGAAGATAACGTATTGAGAGTAGAATAACCTGTCTGACTGTGTCCTAGGAAGATAACGTAATGAGAGTAGAATAACCTGCCCGACAGTGTCCGAGGACGATAACGTAATGAGAGTAGAGTTACCTGCCTGACAGTGTCCGAGGAAGATAACGTAATGAGAGTAGAATTACCTGTCTGACAGTGTTCTATGAAAATAACGCAATGAGAGTAGAACTACATGCCTGACACTGTCCGAGGAAGATAATGTAATGAGAGTAGAATTACCTGCCTGACAGTGTCCTATGAAAATACCGCAATGAGAGTAGAGTTACCTGCCTGACAGTGTCCGAGGAAGAAAACGCAATGAGAGAAGAATTACCTGCCTTACAGTGTCCGAGGAAGATAACGTAATGAGAGTAGAGTTACCTGCCTGACAGTGTCCGAGGAAGATAACGTAATGAGAGTAGAATAACATGCCTAACAGTGTCCGAGGAAGATAACGCAATGAGAGTAGAATAATCTGCCTGACAGTGTCCGAGGAAGATAACGTAATGAGAGTAGAGTTACCTGCCTGACAGTGTCCGAGGAAGATAATGTAATGAGAGTAGAATAACATGCCCGACATTGTCCGAGGAAGATAACGTAATGAGAATAGAGTTACCTGCCTGACAGTGTCCGAGGAAGATAACGTAATGAGAGTAGAGTTACCTGCCTGACAGTGTCCGAGGAAGATAATGTAATGAGAGTAGAATTACCTGCCTGACAGTGTCCGAGGAAGATAACGTAATGAGATTGGAATTACATGCTTGACAGTGTCTGAGGCAGATAACGTAATGAGAGTAGAATTAGCTCCCGGACAGTGTCCGAGGAAGATAACGTAATGAGAGTAGAATTACCTGCCTGACAGTGTCCTAGGAAGATAACGTATTGAGAGTCGAATTACCTGCTTGACAGTGTCCTAGGAAGATAACGTAATGAGAGTAGAATTACCTGCCTGACAGTGCCTGAGGAAGATAACGTATTGAGAGTCAAATTACCTGCCTGACAGTGTCCTAGGAAGAAAATGTAATGAGAGTAGTATTACCTGCCTGACAGTGTCCTATGAAAATAACGCAATGAGAGTAGAACTACCTGCCTGACAGTGTCCGAGGAAGATAATGTAATGACAGTAGAATCACCTGCCAGACAGTGTCCGAGGAAGAAAACGCAATGAGAGAAGAATTACCTGCCTTACATTGTCCGAGGAAGATAATGTAATGAGAGTAGAATGATCTGCCTTACAGTGTCCGAGGAAGATAACGTAATGAGAGTAGAATAACATGCCTGACAGTGTCCGAGGAAGATAACGTAATGAGAGTAGAATTACCTGCCTGACAGTGTCCGAGGAAGATAACGTATTGAGAGTCGAATTACCTGCCTGACAGTGTCCTAGGAAGATAACGTAATGAGAGTAGAATTACCTGCCTGACAGTGTCCTAGGAAGATAATGTAATGAGAGTAGAATTACCTGCCTGACAGTGTCCTATGAAAATAACGCAATGAGAGTAGAATTACCTACCTGACAGTGTCCGAGGAAGAAAATGCAATGAGAGAAGAATTACCTGCGTCACATTGTCCGAAGAAGATAATGTAATGAGAGTAGAATAATCTGCCTGACAGTGTCCGAGGAAGATAACGTAATGAGAGTAGAGTTACCTGCCTGACAGTGTCCGAGGAAGATAACGTAATGAGAGTAGAATAACCTACCTGACAGTGTCCTTGGAAGATAACGTAATGAGAGTAGAATTACCTGCCTGACAGTGTCCGCGGAGATGACGTAATGAGAGTAGGATTACACACGATGCCCATAGGAAGATAACGTAATGAGAGTAGAATAACCTGCCTGACAGTGTTCTAGGAAGATAACGTAATGAGAGTAGAATTACCTGCCTGACAGTGTCCGAGGAAGATAACGTAATGAGAGTAGAGAGTTACCTGCCTGACAGTGTCCGAGGAGGAAGATAACGTAATGAGAGTAGAATAACCTGCCCGACAGTGTCCGAGGAAGATAACGTAATGAGAGTAGAGTTACCTGCCTGACACTGTCCGAGGAAGATAACGTAATGAGAGTAGAATAACATGCCCGACATTGTCCGAGGAAGATAACGTAATGAGAGTAGAGTTACCTGCCTGACAGTGTCCGAGGAAGATAACGTAATGAGAGTAGAGTTACCTGTCTGACAGTGTCCGAGGAAGATAACGTAATGAGAGTAGAATTACCTGCCTGACAGTGTCCGAGGAAGATAATGTAATGAGAGTAGAATTACCTGCCTGACAGTGTCCGAGGAAGATAACGTAATGAGAGTAAAATAACCTGCCTGACAAGTGTCCTAGGAAGATAACGTAATGAGAGTAGAATTACCTGCCTGACAGTGTCCTAGGAGGAAGATAACGTATGTGAGAGTAGAATAAAAAACCTGTCTGACAGTGTCCTAGGAAGATAACGTATTGAGAGTAGAATTACCTGTCTGACAGTGTCCTAGGAAGATAACGTAATGAGAGTAGAATAACCTGTCTGACAGTGTCCTAGGAAGATAACGTAATGAAAGTAGAATTACCTGCCTGACAGTGTCCGAGGAAGATAACGTATTGAGAGTAGAATTACCTGCCTGACAGTGTCCGAGGAAGATAACGTATTGAGAGTAGAATAACCTGTCTGACAGTGTCCTAGGAAGATAACGTAATGAGAGTAGAATAACGCACACGATGCTCCTAGGAAAATAATGCAATGAGAGTAGAATAACCTGCCTGACAGTGTCCGAGGAAGATAACGTAATGAGAGTAGAATTACCTGCCTGACAGTGTCCGAGGAAGATAACGTAATGAGAGTAAAATAACCTGCCTGACAAGTGTCCTATGAAGATAACGTAATGAAAGTAGAATTACCTGCCTGACAGTGTCCGAGGAAGATAACGTATTGAGAGTAGAATAACCTGTCTGACAGTGTCCTAGGAAGATAACGTATTGAGAGCAGAATTACCTGTCTGACAGTGTCCTAGGAAGATAACGTAATGAGAGTAGAATAACCTGTCTGACAGTGTCCTAGGAAGAGAACGTAATGAGAGTAGAATAACGCACACGATGCTCCTAGGAAAATAATGCAATGAGAGTAGAATAACCTGCCTGACAGTGTCCTAGGAAGATAACGTAATGAGAGTAGAATTACCTGTCTGATAGTGTCCTTGGAAGATAACATAATGAGAGTAGGATTACCTGCCTGACAGTGTCCTAGGAAAATAACGCAATGAGAGTAGAATTACCTGCCTGACAGTATCCTAGGAAGATAACGTAATGAGAGTAGAATAAATCACGCGATGCCTATAGGAAGATAACCTTTGAGAGTAGAATAACCATTGTGATAGCCCCTTGGAAGATAACGTTTACCGACGAAAAGTCTTACATGTCTCCGACATACCCACTTCTTAGCCCACGGGAAGACCACTTATAGAACTCTGACTTACCCACTTGTTACCCCATGGGAAGACCACTTGTAGAACGTTCACTTACCCACTTGTTAGCCCACGGGAAAGCCACTTGTAGAACGTTCATTTACCCACTTGTGAGCCCACGGGAAGACCACTTATAGAACTCTGACTTACCCACTTGTTAGCCAATAGGAAGACCAGTTGTAGAACTCTGACTTACCCACTTGTTAGCCCACGGGAAGACCACTTGTAGAACGTTCACTTACCCACTTGTTAGCCCACGGGAAAGCCACTTGTAGAACGTTCATTTTACCACTTGTGAGCCCACGGGAAGACCACTTGTAGAACGTTCACTTACCCACTTGTAGCCCACAGGAAGACCAGTTGTAGAACACTCACTTACCCACTTGTTAGCCCACGGGAAGACCACTTGTAGAACGTTCACTTACCCATTTGTTAGCCTACGGGAAGACCACTTGTAAAACGTTCACTTACCCACTTGTAGCCCACAGGAAGACCAGATGTAGAACACTGACTTACCCACTTGTTAGCTCACGGCAAGACCACTTGTAGAACACTGACTTACAAACTTGTTAGCCTACAGGAAGACCAGTTGTGGAACGTCCACTTACCCACTTGTAGCCCACGGGAAGACCAGTTGTAGAACACTGATTTACCAACTTGTTAGCCCACGGGAAGACCGCTTGTTGAATGTTCACTTACCCACTTATACCACACGGGAAGATCACTTGTAGAAAACTGACTTACCCACTTGTTAGCCCACGGGGAGATTACTTGTAGAACACTGACTTACCCACTTGTTAGCCCACGGGAAGATTACTTGTAGAACACTGACTTACCAACTTGTTAGCCCACGGGAAGATCACTTGTAGAACACTGACTTACCCACTTGTTAGCCCACGGGAAGATCACTTGTAGAACACTGACTTACCCACTTGTTAGCCCACGGTAAGATCACTTGTAGAACACTGACTTACCCACTTGTTAGCCCACGGGAAGATCACTTGTAGAATACTGACTTACCCACTTGTTAGCCCACGGGAAGATCATTCCGAGCGTGAACAACCCGAGGAGTGGTCCGCCGATCATGCCGAAGAGAGACAGGGCCGCCTGGGAAGAACATTTAACTCTATCAGTCAGTGAGATGCCAATCGCCATTAGACACCCCAGTCTGTACTGATCAGGGTGTACAGGCCAACCCACTACCAAACATATTTACCGCTTCCATTTAAAGTCTCCATGCAATACACATTGGCGTCCAATGAATGTACCCCCAATCTTAAATAGTTCCTAAATGTATAATCCACCATGTTGTTGCATGTTTCAAATGGGACAAATACCAGCTCACAGGTTCTCTTGTGGCAATCAAGAATTGGGAACATTGTAAATAAGCAATAATGTCATAGCAAGAGTTGCACAGCAGCTGCCAACATGGACGCGTGGCCAATACACCCACAGGATGCACGCCAGGAACAAAGGCTACTGGGAAGATGGGATGTAATTGTTATTCAACATATTGCCACATTCTCTCTAATAACATATGTTATCCATTGCGTGTGGCAATATGTGTAGGATAAAACAAATTAACATGACCCGCGGGCATTATTGAAAAGTAAGCCCGCTTAAGGAAGAGGGCTTACTTTTCAATAATGCCCACGGGTCATGTTATGTCCAACTTATAAACCGACCGAAGATATACTTTAGATATATTGTCAATATTTGGTATTTACTGTTAAAATCAACTGGGATGAGACTGGCAGCCGATGCCTCGCAATGCACGTGCTCCGCACGCGCTGCCCGCACTACCCGTCTTGCGAGGAACACACGGTTCATACCGACAAACAGTCTCATTCTTCACAGCGATCCTTCGTAGCCCAGTGGATAAAACTGCCAAGCTAGTAAGCGAAGGGTTGAGGGTTCAAAACCGGGTGTCGGCACTATATGTTGGAAATTGTCAATAATGTCATATTTTAAGATCGCATTCAGTGATGGCAAGACAAAGTCGTATCAATTTTCAAAATAAAACAAGTAATAATTCAAAGTCAAGGGCTATTCCTCAGAAAATCCCCGGGCAGAGGGACGTTATTAAGATAATGCCCGCGGCACAGGGACGTTATTAAGATAATTGCCCGCGACAGAGGGACATTATTTAGATAATTGCCCGAGGAAGCGAGATTGTTTCAGATTTGAGGGATATTACGAGAAAATGTGTCCCCTAAGAACAATAGAGTGACGTCACTGTCGGTTTATAAGTGGTTATTCAACATATTGCCCCATTCTCGATCTTAACACATGTTATCTACTGCATGGCCCATTTTCCTCCCATCAATAACTCGTAAAAATTCTCTCAGTACACTACCGGGTTGTAACGTCATGCCATCCGTCGCTGTATTAACAATTTTGATATTCCTTCATCTCTAGAGTCACCAAATGACAAGTCAAGGGTATAGTCAGGTCGATAACCCACAAAGCTAAGCTTGTGTAGGGCTTCACGACTGGTGTAAACAACTGACCTGTAAGACACCACCCAGGAGTGAGGCCACATACGTCAAGCCCAAACACACGCCGCCCAGGACCAGCGCTGAAATATCGGTACAACCTATTGAGACCGTTATACACATAGGAAAACATGATGAAATCGAAGCAAATCATAATAAACAGATATTATGTTGTGACTGTAGTAAACAACGAAATATCGTGGTGAAAACCTATTAAACATAGATAACGTGTGGTGAAACCATGGTAAACATAGATAACGCATGGTGAAACCATAGTAAACATGGGTATTTATCACGTGGTGAAACCACCGTAAACAGGTAATATGGGTGAAACCGTAGTAAACAGAACTAACGTGGCGAGTCTGTACTACGCATAGTTATACTCGGAACATGGTGAAATACAGGCGTCACGAGAGTTGTATGGTGGAGGCGAGCAAATAACGCTACTTAACCGGTGCAAGTATTGCCACATGCCACCCTAACTCATGATGCACCAGACGCTTGTCTCTACCTGGCCGTTCTTCTGGTCAGCACGTACCTATGATCTTCGAGATTAGCGTGGCCCGTTCTTCAGACAGATTCTTGGCGATGTAGGACTTGACTACGTCCTCCAGCAGAACGGCCGCCAAGGAGTTGAGGCCCGAGGACACGGTGCTGGTAACACAACGTGAGGAAATACCCCTTGTATTGCTTCTGGAGTGCTACAGCAGCTTATGTGAATCAGGGATAGTTGGGTTGAACATGATACAGATCTCAGACGTCACCAGTCTGGTGAAACATGCGAGCACGGGTATGCTGGCATACCCAGATAGCCCAGGAAGCTGGCATACCCAGACAGCTCAGTACGCTGACATACCCAGAGAGCCCAGTAAGCTGACATACCCAGAGAGCCCAGTAAGCTGACATACCCAGAGAGCCCAGTAAGCTGACATACCCAGAGAGCCCAGGAAGCTGATATACCCTGAGAGCCCAGTAAGCTGACATACCCAGAGAGCCCAGTAAGCTGACATACCCAGAGAGCCCGGTAAGCTGACTGACTGACTGAGTGTGGTTTTACGCCGCTTTTAGCAATATTCCAGCAACATCACGGCGGGGTACACCAGAAATGGGCTTCACACATTGTGCCCATGTGGGGATTCGAACCCGGGTCTTCGGCGTGACGAGCCAACGCTTTAACCACTAGGCTACCCCACCGCCCCCGGTAAGCTGATGTACGCAGAGAGCCCAGGAAGCTGATATACCCTGAGAGCCCAGTAAGCTGACATACCCAGAGAGCCCGGTAAGCTGATATACCCTGAGAGCCCAGTAAGCTGATTTACCTTGAGACATCATCGTTAGGTTTATTATCATAACTGCTCCTATTACACAGCTATTTTACACGATGCATGTAAGACGATGTTATTTGTGATTTGTAATTTCAAAATTACCACACCGGATATGTATCTGAACTGAAGTCACTAATTTCACCGGTGCACGTGACTTTCACTTGTAACGACAATCTTTTTGAAGTCGTAAACGTCCTATAAATGTAGCTTAGATCCCATCAGTCATACAAGAATTGTTTTCTCTGAATCGGTTTCCCTGTTTCACGAGCTCTATGAGGAAGGAGAGGTCAGTATGAGGCTTATAGTAGGAATCCTACACTATGTGACAACTCCCCTTCAGCCCTATGTGTAAGGAAGGTAAGTTAGGTAACGGAACGGCCGAGTGGATCCGAAGGCGCGAGAAGCGTAGGCTTACCTGAGGGCGCCACTGAAGATGCAGGCGACGAACAGACCCGGAAGTCCCGTGATGTTCCCCAACACGTCCATCACAAACAGAGGGAGGAGCTGGAACAGCGGGCCATTACACAGGTCAGTTGACCAGGACAATACATGTGTTTAGGGGCTGACCATGGTGTGGATGGAGGCTGCACAGTGGCTGCACAGTGTAGCAGTACCCCAGGGGTGTGGATGGGGGCTGGTGCTACACAGGGTATGTATTTTGTAGGTTATACATACACGGTGACAAGGAAAGGTGCTGACTACATGCACCCCATATCCACTCACGAAGTAAGCATGGACATCCACTCTACGGGTTTTCAACACTGAGCCCGAGATTACGTTTCCAACAGAAACAGATTTATTGATAAGGATGATGGTACATTTTGGAATGTTCAGGGTTTTTCGAGTATAAGTGGAACTGAAGTTTCACAGTTTCACAGTTTCCCAAACGGTGACAGTATCTAAAAGTATAGCGAAAACTCCAATTATAAGGGCCAACTAACAACTATCACATGTATTTACACCGAGGTGCGTATATGAACATTTGGTCGGTGTATATTTAGCCGCAGTGGAAATAGTTTTTAGAAGTTTGCGAATCTGCGATTCTTGTTCGACGTTCAGACGTTAAGTTACAGTACAACCAGAAATTATTGAGAATTTAAAGATTGTAATTTTTTTATATATTTTTTCACTCATTACTCACGTATTAATGTGAATATTAGCAGAACATAATTCCAGATTCAAAGATCCAGAAAAGTTAGTATTTGTCAAGTCACCATTGGCAGCAATGCAGGCTTCAATGCGGCGGGGCATACTACTGATCAAAGAAGTTAGAAAGTCGTGGTCCATGCTGTCCCAATATCGGACCACCTCTTCTTTCATTTCAGCAATATTTGTCAGATTTTTCTTATTGACACTTTCCTTCATAAGTCCCCAAACATTTTTTGTTGAATTTAGGTCAGGGCTATAGCTTGGCCAATCTAATAATGTCATATTTTGGGTCCGAAACCAGGCCTGTGAATGCTTTTAACGATGTTTTGGGTCGTTGTCCTGCTGGAAAATCCAAACATTTTCATAGAAAGATGAGCAAATGGAAGTAAATGTCCCTCGAGAATATCTGTGTACCGCTCACTGTTCATATTCCCTTCAAATACACAGAGGGGCGCTGCCCCTAACACAGATATGCCATCCCACACGTTAAATTTCGGACTGTACTTTGGGCGCTGATACAAAGGTTTTTCAGTTTGTTTGGTCCAGAATTTCAGTGTATTAGGTAACAGCCACACAGAACTTTCATCTGAGAAAATCACATTGTCCCAGTTAAATGTTTTTTAAATTTCTATGTTGTAAGCACCAGTTCAACCTTCGCTCCTTCTGTTCAGGTTTCATGATCGGTGATGGAATTCCTCGACTTTTCTGCCAACCCATTGCATACAGCTCAGTTCTAATTGTCTCCTTACAGGCAGCCACAGTTCCTCTATCAATCATATCCAGGCTTAAGTTTTCTGAACTCCTTCGTTTGTTTTTAGAAACAAGAATACCAAGCCGCCTCCTGTCACCGACAGTCAATTTTCTGGGCCTACCTGCGCCTCCCTGGTGCTCATTGCCATATCCATTTGCAATATTTTTCAAAACACGATAAACAGTGGTAAAAGGGATGCCTGTTCTACTTGAAATTAATTAGCTGATCTGAGGTCCTTGTTATAATACTCTAAAATCAACTTCCTCTTCTCTAAATCATCCATACTGAGGATCACTGAAAATGTCGTCTGCTAACAAGTAATCAAAGGGGGATAACTCTTCACAAACTAATGAAAAAGGATTAACGGAGTTGTCTCTCTTGAATGAAACCAAGCACATGATAGCTGGTCAAGGCTGTTTACACTAGAAATCCAATCAAACATATTCCTAAAATTCTCAGTAATTTCTGGTCATACTATAACACTTTTATCAATATTTAGTCTCTTCTTGGTATTTCTTTTTATGAGATTTCAGGGACCTTTATGAGTTATTTAGTAAAACGCATTGACATTGTAGCAAAGCTTCAATGTTCTTTATGACGTAAATAGCCACCATTTGAAATAACGATGTTTGTCAAGAAATGAACGATCACCTGGTCCGAAGCGCTGACCAGGCCGAAGCGGAGTGGGTCGCATAAGCTGTAGAAGGCATACAGAACGATGCCGATGAGGCAGCAGACGTAGAGGATGAGGCAGAGGCCGGGAAAGTTAATCCAGATGGCGCTGCAAACGAAGAGAGGCATAGTTCCCGTTAGTGTGTGGTTGTGAGGCCTTGACACTAAATGTTTTAAATCATTATTGAAGTGATACATGTCGTGGTTGTAGGGAGATGTTGGCGATGTGGCAGAAGGATGGGTTGCTACGGTAACCGTGTCTCTGCAGCTCCCTAATAACGGGTTTTGATCTGCCTTACCGCTAAACCAACCCTCGGGCTGTTAGAGTTTTCCCAGTGAACACATACCGCACGTACAACCCGGCCACAATGTATAGGAATCGTAGTCCCACAGAAAGCTCGCATCCTCCTAATGAAGGAGTCAGAATCTACTCCGTAACGTCATCCATAGTGTCTCCCTTTCGGTGTCTACGTAATTATAATACAATATACAAATGACGGTCACTGACAGTTGGGTTACAAAGTACTAACTTCATCAAATTAGCGTTTTGCAAAGTTGCACAAAATGTTTTCTGCGAACAAAACAGTAACGTGGACAAAACTTTAACTGACAGCTGAGCTTTCTTCAAAGTGGGGCACGTGCACGCACGCTGAACTTGTGCCTGATTGGTTCCGTAGACGGCCACCCATGTGAAGAATCCACCAATCACAAGAGACCACACGCTGTGACGGACGGATGGATCTGGACTGAAGCTGAAAAGAACAACATGACCATGGAGAGGAAATCAACACTGTGGCACTTGGAAACATGTCCGAGTGAGTTCAACTGGAACCAAAGCTGTTAACCGTGTTCCACTGTACAAACTCAGTCAAGACGAGTTCCCTCGTAGGCAGGGTCTAATCAGTAGGACAGGTGTGTGACGTACTCTAATGCCCCATTGTATGCAAGGTCTAATCATTAGCACAGGTGTGTGACGTACTCTAATGTCCCATTATAGGCAGGGTCTAATCAGTAGGACAGGTGTGTGACGTACTCTAATGTCCCATTATAGGCAGGGTCTAATCAGTAGGACAGGTGTGTGACGTGCTCTAATGTCCCATTATAGGCAGGGTCTAATCAGTAGGACAGGTGTGTGACGTACTCTAATGCCCCGGTGTAGGCAGGGTCTAATCATTAGCACAGGTGTGTGACGTACTCTAATGCCCCATTGTATGCAGGGTCTAATCATTAGCACAGGTCTGTGACGTACTCTAATGCCCATTTGTATGCAGGGTCTAGTCAATAGGACTGGTTTGTAACGTACTCATATATGACGATTCTCTCGTTGCGTTCAGCGATCTTCCAGGCATTAGCGAATCCGCCGAGAACCATGGACCCCTTGATGAGGACCGCGAACAGCCCTGCGAACATCATCCCGATCTGGAAGGTGTCCGTCCATAACACCGCCTTCATCCCACCCTGGAACACACGGAGTGATGACTGAGTGAGTGAGTGAATATTGTAACACGCCTTTTAAGAAACATTCAAGCCTCACCACGGGAAGAATGGGGTGCATGTAACCCATTCCGCTACCACAACGCTGCACCAAGTTCGCTTTACCATGTCTTTTGTTGTGTGTTTGTTTCCGAAATGGTGTTTACTCGATGTCAGAAATGGGGGAAACTCACGATGGTTGTGTAGAGAGTGCAGACCACTCCGACGGATATGACAGAGCCCCAGAGGGTGAAACCAGTCACTGAAACAGAGCAGGAACGTATACACAGCACACCATGGCGACACGTCTTGCATTTACGCATATACCATCATCGATGTTGAAGTACTTCACACTGAAATAAATCTATTTGTTATACATACTGCATAAAACTACCCCCGTTCCCTTTATATTATCTATTGTGACAAAACTGATGGAAAAAGAAAGTACACACCTGGTGCTTTTGGATTACTTTCCAAAGAGCCACGTAAATGTTTTGAAAATGATATATAAGTCACAGACTTTCCTAATATGTTGCCAAAACACCACAGATATCGTGCCCAAGTGCGAAGTTGCAAGTCAAAATCACAACACTTTTCAAATAATCCCAAAACACCAGGTGTGTACTTTCTTTTGTACGCCAGTTTATATTAAATGTTCGAGTTTTCTGTAACTGGTTTTGAGTAGTACACATGGATAATAATATGTTGCATCCCATAGGAACGAATCCAGACGCCGGACTCATGTCGTTTAGGGATGCAATGTTTATAATACATGTGGGTACCAGTGTAGTCTTACGCTCCACAATACTGGAAATGTTTATTCAATGAACAAAACGAGCTGGAGTTCCTTATTTGATGAGTGAGGGAGTGTTAGTTTAACGGCTCGCTCATCAATATTCCAGCTATGTGTCTGAACCAGACAATCCAGTGATCAACAGCATGAGCATCGATCTACGCAACTGGGATACGATGACATGTGTCAACCAATTCAGCGAGCCTGACCACCCGATCCCGTTAGTCGCCCCTTTAAAAGGCAAGCATGGGTTGCTGAAGATCAGTTCTAACCGGATCTTCACGGTGCTTATTAATAAACACGATGTGGAGCTGTTCATCATACACTGGACATAGTGTCCTGGAGATAGCCACTTACCGGCGTTCAGGGCGAGGGACGGGGCGTACAACACGATGGCCATGTACAGCACCTAAAACATCACACAAACTCCTAAAACATCACATAAACAAGTACCAAACATGTAAGACCAGCGTTAATGGTAGCGTTAGATTTGACAAACGGATGCTGCAGTGAACTAATGTAATTGTATGCATGTGAAAAATGAAACATTACAACAAAATGATATTCGTTTCCATTAAAATATGCAAACAATTAACAGCCCACCGTGGTAACACAAACGGTATGAGTATTTGTTTTGACTGGTGATATACATGAACTACAGGTATTCAGGTGATGCTGGGGATACTTCTACAGGTACTCAGGTGATGCTGGGGGATACTTCTACAGGTATTCGGGTGATGCTGGGGGATACTTCTACAGGTATTCAGGTGATGCTGGGGGATACTTCTACAGGTATTCAGGTGGTGCTGGGGATACTTCTACAGGTATTCAGGTGATGCTGGGGATACTTCTACAGGTATTCAGGTGGTGCTGGGGGATACTTCTACAGGTATTCAGGTGGTGCTGGGGATACTTCTACAGGTATTCAGGTGATGCTGGGGATACGTACCATCTGTACCGCGAATGTCATGGATCCTGCAGTACGGATTGTTTTCCCAAACCGGTACTCGAGGTACTGAAACAGTAGATATGGACACATCAATACAGGCCGCCCAATACACAGAGCAGTTTGGCAAGATGTTACAGTAGACAAGGACACTTCAAAACAGGCCTCCCAATACACATATGAGTATGGCAGGGTGTTGCAGTAGACATGGACACTTCAAAACAGGCCACCCAATACACATAGGAGTGTGGCAGGATGTGATAAGTAAAACAGGCCACCAAATACACATGGCAGGATAAGTGACCCAATACACATGCAGGATGTTAGATATGGACATCAAAACAGGACACCGGATACACAGGCACTTACAAAACAGATAACCTCGGTAGAGGTTTTACGATTGCAGGAGGTTTTACAATGATCATTGTAAAACCTCATACGAGGTACGAAGTTTTACAATGGTCGTTGTAAAACCTCATACCATGATATGAGGTTTTGAAATGACCATTATTTATGACTGATACAACTTTGTCTTGCTATGACTGATGGTAAAATATCTCATTATTGAAAACTTCCAATATTTAGCGATGATAACTGGTTTCGAACCCGCAACCCATCGCTCTCTAGCTTGGCGGTTTTATCCACTACGCTACGAAGGATCGCTGTGAGGAATGAGATTGTTTGTCAGTATCAACCATGTGTTTCTCACAAGACGGGTACTGCGGGCAGCGCATGTGCAGGGCAGGGGTAGCGCGTGCAGGACACGGATAGCGCGTGCAGAGCACGAGCATTGCGCGTGCGGGTCAAGGTGTTGGCTGCCAGTCGCATCCCAGTTGACACCGGCTGTTCCATCATTTGCGGGCTGTTCCATCAATGTTGTTCTACTCAGTACATGCATAAATTGAAAATAATACATATGTAATTTTTGTTGTCTTAGACGGTTTATAAGTTTGATAAAAAGACTCCTCCTCGATTTTGGTTGAGAATGTAAAACCTCAGTGTCAGGAAATCCCTCGGGCGCTCCTTCCCCTGAGTTTTTACATTCTCAACCAAAACCTCGGAGTCGTCTTTAATCCTACACGTAACAGCCTAAAAACAGGGTTTTTTCTATTTCCGACAGTACTTTTTAGGACCCACCTAAACCGATCTTATCATGCATAAAGGAATAATTTGATTAGGGACGTGTAGTGTCACTATACTGTCTCTTTCTGGCTGTCCTCAAACAGCTGAGGACCCACCCGACCATAGAACCAGAGTATCCCGTTCCAGCTGTACCTTGACAGTACCCAGAGAGTACCTAGGATACTGTATTATCAAACACTTTCTGCGATTATGACATGTCATCTCTTCCGGTTAGTTACTTCTGAAAGAGATTTTACGATGCTTCCTTTTTATAAAGCTGGTTGGCTTTGGAAGCGACCTAATATATCACCGTGAGACAGAGTCAAGTGCGTCTCCGTCGTTCGCCGGGTTCCGCAGAAATTCTGCCGGGATACAGTTGGTCATCTGCTTGACCATGTTCACCCTTGATTATCCAAATACGAACCTTCCCAGGGAGTATATACTGGTCAATAGAGTGTTAAAACCCAACTCTCACTTATCATCGGAATGCAATTCCTGTGATAAGCTGGTGACAGCTCTGAGTTAACATTGAACAACAGTAAACAAATGGCACACATACAGTGTTGGCAGAAGCCAGCAGGTCGTACTGGGCCCGGGGTCGCTGAGTGATTTATGTGTTTGTACAGGAACCAGAGCTTGTGTGTCATATAGGGAAGCCTCGAGACGTGCGGGAACTGAAGCCCAGCAGATTAATGCCGCACTAAGGCAGTTATAACATCTTTACGACCGTCCATTACAAACAGGTCTTGTGTCAGTTTTGCAATTCATAGAAAGGTTAAGGTAGTGCGTGGGCCAGGGTGAGGGGTTGTATGTCACACTGAACATCGTTGAACATCAGTTGCCTCTATAGAATCTCATATGAAGACGCAGTCCAATACGGCTGTTATGCTGAAACTCTTATGTTAATGTAGATCAATTCCATCCACGCCTAAAGGCTACACAGGGGATACAATTAAACACACACACACACACACACACACACACACACACACACACACACACACACACACACACACACACGCACGCACGCACGCACACACGCACGCACGCACACGCATACGTATAGACACAGACACACGCATAAACGCAGACAGAGACACATGCACAACACCAACACATACACACGCATACGCACACTAACACATAAATGCACCTGTACACACACGCGCGCGAACGTGCACGCACACACACACACACACACACACTCTCCTACCCAGAGTTCCATGCGGCAAGCCAGCATAGTACCTTCGTCACATCTTGCAATGTCCATTCAATATAATGTACAGATTTCTTTTACTCTTTTATTTTTGACGAGTCTACACATCTAACTAAACATCTTTAATAGAATGGTTGAGTTTCACTGAGAAAATATCCTAAAACATGTGACACTATTTCGATTTGCGTAGCGATCCTTTGTTTACATAGGTTGTACGGCTCCACGTGCTGTCATCGAAGCTGATGGAGAGCAAACGATGCAGTCAGTTTGATATCTAATTATGTACTGTCATAGACCTTACTGTCGCAGTTGTGGAAGTTTATATATGTAACAATGTAAAACATTATGAAGAGAGCGCCGAAAAGCTTTCGTGAGTCCAGTCTCTTCTTATTATGAATATGCGCGTTTGATTACAAACAAGAGAAAAGTCCGGTCACGTGATATGCAAATTAGCCTGTGGCAGTGATATTATGTTAAGTCATCGCTGTGCCGGAGTGTGACACACACACTGACTTCGGTCAGTTGCAGCTCACAAGCCATGTATTCTCACTCAACTCATCGCAAACAGAAAACTTTTACACCATTGGGATTAAAGGGGTTAACTTAGTTGTACTGAAAACCTGAAAGCTGGGAAACATAACGAAAAAATCCAGCCATCTCGGCTTCCACTGACACGTGACACCAGGAAGTTGCATTCCAGTGCAGGGGCATGATGGAGTGGTGTGCTGTGATGTCATCAGGACGGCTCATGTGGATCCACCTATCACAAATGAACGCTGTTTACGTTTGATGAATGTTTTCAGGTTGCTTGCGTCGGGCATCCCATTTACTGGTGTGAGAATGTGACATCCCGTGACGTCGTTCTGCATCCTGGAGCACGGTGTAATGTCATACTGAGCAACAGTGTGCTCTATAAGGTCTGGACAGTGTCCACCATGACGCAAGTCGGTAGATATAAAGGTTACAGATCAAAGGGGGATAAACCCAATTGAAACACTGTTTTGTAATTATGGTAAATATTTATAACAATCCACAATAGTGGTTGCAGAACTTAGTGGTTTGACTGTTTGAGGCTAGACCTCTGGCTAGACCAAAGCACCATGAGGCACAGCTACCTCTGAGATGTATCAGGTGGGATGTCTATGCTGGAACAGCGACACGGTGATGTGTTCCTGTATTGTGGTGATGGTGTATGTTTAGTACTAACATGGGGATACTGATCACTGGTCAGTTGGTTCTTATTATCACCAATCGCCGATATAGTAAATAGGAACATAGACAGAGACCTGGGCCCTTATTTTCGAAACGTTCATAGCCCCTAAGAATTCTTAACTTTGGCCGTAGCCAATGTGTTAAGAATGGGCTTAAGAAGTTCGCAGGGCTACGAACGTTTCGAGAATAGCTAGCCAGTCTAAAGAAGTCAACACGCATGAATACCGAACCCAGGTGACCACTGACCTGTCAACAACTCAGCATGTCACTCGTATGCCCTGCGGTATATACCTTGTTAGCAGCCTTCTCAGTAATAGATAACTGAAGGACATGTGTTCCTAAAGAGGGGGGGGCGGTGGGGTAGCCTAATGGTTAAAGCGTTGGCTCGTCACGCCGAAGACCCGGGTTCGAATGCCCACATGGGTACAATGTGTGAAGCCCATTTCTGGTGTCCCCGGTCGTGATGTTGCTGGAATATTGCTAAAAGCGGCGTAAAACCAAACTCAGTCAGTCCTAACGAGGAGATAACTGAAATACAAGTAACCTCACCGAGGAGATAACTGAAATACAAGTGTCTCCTGTGAGGAGATAACGGAAATACAAGTGACCTCACGAGGAGATAACTGAAATGCAAGTGTCACCTGTGAGGAGATAACGGAAATAGATGTGACCTCAGTGAGGAGATACCTGAAATACAAGCGTCTCCTGCGAGGAGATACCTCAAATACAAGTGTCCCCAGTCAGGAGATAACTGAAATACAAGTGACCTCAGCGAGGAAATAACTGAAATACAAGTGTTTCCTGTAAGGGGATAACGGAAATACAAGTGTTTCCTGTGAGGGGATAATGGAAATAGATGTGACCTCAGTGAGGAGATCACTGAAATACAAGCGTCTCCTGCAAGGAGATAACTGAAATACAAGCATCTCTTGTGAGGAGACAACTGAAATACAAGTGTTCCCAATCAGGAGATAGCCAAAGGACATGTAACTCCAATATTGTGTTTCTGAAGAGTGTCATTTAAAAATTGAGTTCTGAAAGGAGATTACTAAAGTACAAGTGTCCTCAATAAAGAGATAATCCAGGCACTCTCAGACCCACCTTTGCTACAAACCGTCTAAAGAGCCGTGAGCTTTCCAGATTTCTATGCCAGACACGTACACATATTGCACAGCGTATTGCTGCTGGGGAAATGGGGCGTGTATGCTGTGTAATGTGTATGCTATTTGCAAGTCATCACCAAGCCCCTAATTTTTATGAGTGTCAGTTGGCTCTTCATCTAAACTGTAACAAACGGTCCTGGCCAGAAATTGATCAATATCTCTACAGGAAAATGGTTTCTTCCACCCCTACCAACCCCTCTCCTCTCACCCATACATGGTGTTCAATGATTCTCACCTCCCATACATACATTATTGTCCCAATATAATGTTCAACCTTAAAACATTTTTCTTTGAAATGTATAGAACTGTGCCATGTTGTGTCTTCATCTCACTGAAGAATTTCCTTCAAATACTGTTTCTTTCTATGTAGTTATAAACGCCAATTTCCACGCACAAACTTTGCGTAAATCCACCAATCAGAAGCAATTCCTGTACATAAGTACATCAGCACTAATCATTTCACGGGTAATGTATTAATTCATTTAAAACCAAAACCAAAACCTACAGACACGGAAATCAGTGACGCCGTTTACACCCATATTGCAACCAAAGACCGCCACAGTAATAGTCAATAGTCAATAGTCAATAGTCAGTAGTCAATAGTCAATAGTCAGTAAACGCAAAGATAGTGCTTGCTTGTACTTATACTTTCAGTTCATATCTATCATTTGACATTAAGAAGTAGTTAAACTGACATCGGTAGCGCTGTTGAAGAGTGACGAAACAGCCTGATTTCATAGAGTGACAGGCCCGAGAGGACAATCGTCACAGAATCGGTTTGGAGCGTGGTCCTTCACTCTCATCAACAGCGTCTTGACCCTGCTGAGCAGGACATGTCAACGACCAGCTGCGTGACCAGCGATGTCCCCCCGGCACACATGGGTGGGCATTTCAACCAGTTTGACAACTTTCCCCCTGATATCTGAAATACATCTGAAATACAATTGACCGTGGTCTTTACGACAGCTCTGTCAAATACCCCCGCCGGCTATTCGCGAAAACAAATTCCCATATGTTAAGCTCTTTATGAAACTAAGCTAACGATTCAGCTGCTGACATGTCACTGTCGGAACAGGCATGAGATGCAAGTCAATGGCTAATGTCAAAAGTCAGCAGGTCAACGATGGTATGGGGCAGTATATATTATGACAGCACACGCGGTAAGCATCTTTATGGTCTGGTAGCGAGTCAGGGACGTGATCACTGTGTACACACGGCCATGTTGTCACGGATACCGAAACCTGACTGATCAAACACTTATGTGTCTGAAGGCAGGAACACAGAAGCAAACAGAGAATGATTGTACTGTTTACAGCAGGTGCAGAAGAAGAAACAGGTCCACAGGAGCAGCGCACTGTTCACCCTAAAACCCTTCTGCCTCCAAACATACATATATACAGACAGACAGACAGACATACAGACATCCGTACTACATACACACACACACACACACACACAAACAAAAAAACAAAACAACAACAACATACATACATACATCACTGCTGACGGTGTTGGTAACATCTTACTCCTCTCATGTCACTGTTGGTCACGTAATATACTTCTGCCGTCACTGTTGGTCACGTCATATCCCTTAGCCGTCATTATTGGTCAGGTCATGTACCTCTGTCGTCATTGTTGGTCACGTCATTTCCATCTGCCGTCACTGTTGGTCACCTCATATCCCTCAGCCGTCATTGTTGGTCACGTCATGTACCTCTGATGTCACTGTTGGTCACGTCATATCTATCTGTCGTCACTGTGAGTCACGTCATATCCCTCAGCCGTCACTGTTGGTCACGTCATATCTATCTGTCGTCATTGTTGGTCACGCCATATCCATCTGCTGTCACTGTTGGTCACGTCATATACCTCTGCCGTCACTGTTGGTCATATACCTCTGCTGTCACTCATATACCTTCTGTGTCACTGTTGGTCACGTCATATCCCTCTGCCGTCACTGTTGGTCACGTCATATACCTCTGATGTCACTGTTGGTCACGTCATATCCCTCTGTCGTCACTGTTGGTCTCGTCATATACTTCTGATGTCACTGTTGGTCACGTCATATCCCTCTGTCGTCACTGTTGGTCACGTCATATCCCTCAGCCGTCATTGTTGGTCACGTCATGTACCTCTGATGTCACTGTTGGTCACGTCATATCCCTCTGTCGTCACTGTGAGTCACGTCATGTACCTCTGATGTCACTGTTGGTCACGTCATATCCCTCTGCCATCACTGTTGGTCACCTCATATCCGTCTGCCGTCACTGTTGGTCACGTCATATACCTCTGCCGTCACTGTTAGTCACGTCATATCCATCTGCCGTCACTGTTGGTCACGTCATATACCTCTGCCGTCACTGTTGGTCACGTCATATACCTCTGATGTCACTGTTGGTCACGTCATGCAGCTCTTATGTCACTGTTGGTCACGTCATATCCCTCAGATGTCACTGTTGGTCACGTCATGCACCCCTCCAGTATCACATGTCAGCTCCAAGTGTTCGCACAAACGGTTACCATGTGCTGCCCTACTGGTGGCAGAGTTTGCATAAAAGTTAAAGGTTTATTGCCTGACGTCATGCAGTAGTACAGGTGCCATTCGACAACGGCCTGTAAACAAACCAGACAAGAAGTGATTGGCGTAAACATAAAGTACATCGTAACTTACTTCATAAGCACTTGTAACCTTGAGGTTGTAGAATATCGGGATGAAGATGTGAGCGGCTGCAGCAATGACGAAGAAATAAGAAATGCCGATCCACCAATATACCGTCGTGAAGTTATACATCTCCGCCGGAGTCCCAAGCAACGTGATCGCCGACATAAAACTCGCCAACAACGATAACGCCACGGGAATGGCGTTCATGTCTTTACCTGCCATGAGAAACTGACGGAGATTGTTCTTTTTTCTGTCGCGGATGGCGTAGAAGATGCCGATGGAGGCGGAGATGACAAGGATACTAGCGAAGATGACATAGTCAGCGGCGTGGAAAGTGTTTCGCTTTCCAGTTTGGTAACTGTAGCCTTCCGACATGATGAAGAACGGAAACCAAGGCACAAGAAGATGTTCCGTCTGTACTGTTACACAGCGACTCTTGACTGAGGAAGCACAACTTGGACTCACAGTGAACCCGCTTTGTACTATCCAGACGCCCAGTCGCGCAACACACCTCAGCAAGACCCTGTTGTCGAAAAACCGATCTCCCTCAATTGCATGCAGGTTTATTGTAAATATCTTGTTTCGTCACGCTCTGTTAAATGTTGGTGCACGATCCTCACGCCATGTAAAGACGCCCCCTTCCACTACCTTCGCACTTGCCCCTCCCCTATTAATATACCTGTCACTTTACCAGTTACAGTCTGCGCATGAGGTTTGATTGACGTGTGGCGTGTAGGTTTCCTCGTACATCACGTGACTCACGGGATTGTCAGATTTGCATGTACCTTAACATGTAGACGTTTCTCTTTATGTTCGTTGTGTAATGACAAAGGACTTATGTGTTTCGATTTCAAGTGTTAAGAAAGCATGTTGACAAGTATGGTTGTGAATGTTGACTGTAAGCTTGTTCCCCTAAATGCCAACTGACCTTGACCCCGACGGCCATTTAGCTATGACCTGGACATGATGGAATTCAATGTGGAATCGCTAGCAGCTCGGACCAAGTACGGTATCGGTGTGGTCCTCCTCGGCAAACAGGTGAACGAGGGGACAGTCTTTAAAGCGACCACCTCGCCTGATCCCCGCTGACCTCTCGTACAGTCGGACTCGCTTTGACTGAAATACCACGACATGACGTGCCCACTTCATCAGGCCACTGGCCATAGCCGAATGTAGAACCAGCTACCTGGCCCAGTATAGAGCAAACCAACTGCCTGATTTATACAAAACCAACTGAGTTGTCAAGACGGAACAATTAGTTTTACCCGATACAGAACAAACTGTCTGTAAAGAACACACAACCTGACCCTGTACAAACCAACCTTCTCATTGTATACGCCAACATCTTCCTGATACTGTACAGAACAAACGACCTGACCTATGTACAGAACCTTCCTGATACTGTACAGAACAAACGACCTGACCTATGTACAGAACCTTCCTGATACTGTACAGAACAAACGACCTGACCTATGTACAGAACCTTCCTGATACTGTACAGAACAAACAAACCATGTACAGAAACAGTTGTTTGTGTCCATCGATTGTCATTCCCTATACAGAACCAACTGTCTCACCCCAAACAGAACCATGTCTGGTTCTCCACAGTGCAACCATGTATCTCTGTACGCCATAGACTATCCGACATGGGAAGCAGTATATGGTGGGGCCTAAACCGGTGTAGTTACAGAGGCGTTATTCATGAGAACATGGCGGTGTCTCAGCGATTATGCTACAGTCATAGAGATAAAGTGTGCATATACTGTGCATGTGTGGTCCAAATGTATCTATACTGTGCATGTTGAGTTGTCCAAATGTATCTATACTGGGCATGTTGAGTTGTCCAAATGTATCTATACTGTGCATGTGTGGTCGTCCAAATATATCTATACTGCGCATGTTATGTTGTCCAAATGTATCTATACTGTGCATGTTGAGTTGTCCAAATGTATCTATACTGTGCATGTTGAGTTGTCCAAATGTATCTATACTGGGCATGTTGAGTTGTCCAAATGTATCTATACTGCGCATGTTGAGTTGTCCAAATGTATCTATACTGTGCATGTTGAGCTGTCCAAATGTATCTATACTGTGCATGTTGAGTTGTCCAAATGTATCTATACTGTGCATGTTGAGTTGTCCAAATGTATCTATACTGTGCATGTTGAGTTGTCCAAATGTATCTATACTGTGCATGTTGAGTTGTCCAAATGTATCTATACTGTGCATGTTGAGTTGTCCAAATGTATCTATACTGTGCATGTTGAGTTGTCTAAATGTATCTATACTGTGCATGTTGAGTTGTCCAAATGTATCTATACTGTGCATGTGTGGTCGTCCAAATGTATCTATACTGTGCATGTGTGGTCCAAATGTATCTATACTGTGCATGGTCGTCTAAATGTATCTATACTGTGCATGTTGAGTTGTCCAAATGTATCTATACTGTGCATGGTCGTCTAAATGTATCTATACTGTGCATGTTGAGTTGTCCAAATGTATCTATACTGTGCATGGTCGTCTAAATGTATCTATACTGTGCATGTTGAGTTGTCCAAATGTATCTATACTGTGCATGGTCGTCCAAATGTATCTATACTGTGCATGTTGAGTTGTCCAAATGTATCTATACTGTGCATGTTGAGTTGTCCAAATGTATCTATACTGCGCATGTTGAGTTGTCCAAATGTATCTATACTGTGCATGTGTCGTCCAAATGTATCTATACTGTGCATGTTGAGTTGTCCAAATGTATCTATACTGTGCATGTTGAGTTGTCCAAATGTATCTATACTGTGCATGTGTGGTCGTCCAAATGTATCTATACTGTGCATGTTGAGTTGTCCAAATGTATCTATACTGTGCATGTTGTGGTTGTCCAAATGTATCTATACTGGGCATGTGTGGTCGTCCAAATGTATCTATACTGTGCATGTGTGGTCGTCCAAATGTATCTATACTGTGCATGTTGAGTTGTCCAAATGTATCTATACTGTGCATGTTGAGTCGTCCAAATGTATCTATACTGTGCATGTGTGGTCGTCCAAATGTATCTATACTGGGCATGTGTGGTCGTCCAAATGTATCTATACTGTGCATGTTGAGTTGTCCAAATGTATCTATACTGTGCATGTGTGGTCGTCCAAATGTATCTATACTGGGCATGTTGAGTTGTCCAAATGTATCTATACTGGGCATGTTGTGTTGTCCAAATGTATCTATACTGTGCATGTGTTGTCGTCCAAATGTATCTATACTGGGCATGTGTTGTCGTCCAAATGTATCTATCCTGGGCATGTTGAGTTGTCCAAATGTATCTATACTGGGCATGTTGAGTTGTCCAAATGTATCTATACTGGGCATGTTGAGTTGTCCAAATGTATCTATACTGGGCATGTTGAGTCGTCAGAAATGTATCTATACTGTGCATGTTGAGTTGTCCAAATGTATCTATACTGTACATGTTGAGTTGTCCAAATGTATCTATACTGGGCATGTTGAGTTGTCCAAATGTATCTATACTGTGCATGTTGAGTTGTCCAAATGTATCTATACTGCGCATATTGAGTTTTTCAAATGTATCTATACTGGACATGTGTTGCCGTCCAAATGTATCTATACTATTCATGTGTGGTGGCCCAAATGTATCTATACTGTGCATGGTCGTCCAAATGTATCTATACTACATGTGTGGTGGCCCTAATGTATCTATACTGTGCATGGTCGTCCAAATGTATCTATACTGGGCATGTGTGCCCTAATGTATCTATACTGTGCATGGTCGCCCAAATGTATCTATGTGCATGGTCGCCCAAATGTATCTATACTGTGCATGGTCGTCCAAATGTATCTATACTGCGCATGTTGAGTTGTCCAAATGTATCTATACTTTCGCATGTTGGAGTTGTCCAAATGTATCTATCCTGGGCATGTTGAGTTGTCCAAATGTATCTATACTGCGCATATTGAGTTTTTTCAAATGTATCTATACTGGACATGTGTGGCCGTCCAAATGTATCTATACTGGGTATGTGTGGTGGCCCAAATGTATCTATACTTGTGCATGGTCGTCCAAATGTATCTATACTGTGCATGTGTGGTGGCCCTAATGTATCTATACTGTGCATGGTCGTCCAAATGTATCTATACTGGGCATGTGTGGTGGCCCTAATGTATCTATACCTGTGCATGGTAGTCCAAATGTATCTATACTGGGCATGTTGAGTTGTCCAAATGTATATATACTGGGCATGTGTGGTCGTCCAAATGTATCTATATACTGTGCATGTTGAGTTGTCCAAATGTATCTATACTGTGCATGTGTGGTCGTCCAAATGTATCTATACTGGGCATGTTGAGTTGTCCAAATGTATCTATACTGGGCATGTTGTGTTGTCCAAATGTATCTATACTGTGCATGTGTTGTCGTCCAAATGTATCTATACTTGGGCATGTGTTGTCGTCCAAATGTATCTATACTGGGCATGTTGTGTTGTCCAAATGTATCTATACTGTGCATGTGTTGTTGTCCAAATGTATCTATACTGGGCATGTGTTGTCGTCCAAATGTATCTATCCTGGGCATGTTGAGTTGTCCAAATGTATCTATACTGGGCATGTTGAGTTGTCCAAATGTATCTATACTGGGCATGTTGTGTTGTCCAAATGTATCTATACTGGGCATGTGTTGTCGTCGAAATGTATCTATACTGTGCATGTTGAGTTGTCCAAGTGTATCTATACTGTACATGTTGAGTTGTCCAAATGTATCTATACTGGGCATGTTGAGTTGTCCAAATGTATCTATACTGTGCATGTTGAGTTGTCCAAATGTATCTATACTGCGCATATTCAGTTTTTCAAATGTATCTATACTGGACATGTGTGGCCGTCCAAATGTATCTATACTGGGCATGTGTGGTGGCCCAAAATGTATCTATACTGTGCATGGTCGTCCAAATGTATCTATACTGTGCATGTGTGGTGGCCCTAATGTATCTATACTGTGCATGGTCGTCCAAATGTATCTATACTGGGCATGTGTGGTGGCCCAAATGTATCTATACTGTGCATGGTCGCCCAAATGTATCTATACTGTGCATGGTCGTCCAAATGTATCTATACTGTGCATGTGTGGTCGTCCAAATGTATCTATACTGTGCATGGTCGTCCAAATGTATCTATACTGTGCATGGTCGTCTAAATGTATCTATACTGTGCATGTTGAGTTGTCCAAATGTATCTATACTGTGCATGGTCGTCTAAATGTATCTATACTGTGCATGTTGAGTTGTCCAAATGTATCTATACTGTGCATGGCCGTCTAAATGTATCTATACTGTGCATGTTGAGTTGTCCAAATGTATCTATACTGTGCATGGTCGTCCAAATGTATCTATACTGTGCATGTTGAGTTGTCCAAATGTATCTATACTGTGCATGTTGAGTTGTCCAAATGTATCTATACTGCGCATGTTGAGTTGTCCAAATGTATCTACACTGTGCATGGTCGTCCAAATGTATCTATACTGTGCATGTTGAGTTGTCCAAATGTATCTATACTGTGC